CAGTGGCGTCGGTGGCCTTGGCTTCGGCTTCGGCGGCTTCGGCTTCGGCGGCCTTGGCCTTCGCCCGCTTGTCGTAGCATCGCTTGCACACTCCACCCGCGCGCAGCGCCTTGGGTCCACGCACGCGCGCCTCTGCATTGCAGGCGCTGCATCGTGGCGATCGCTTGGCCATCGTGGCTCTCTCCTTGCCGTCGTTTCTGGTATCCGCGATCTTCGATCGGACCCGATATAAAACTTGAGACGGATATGATAATTGGCCGACTTTGGACCATGCTCGAAGGTGCTCGTGCGGTACCCAAGGCAGCCACGACAGAAAATTCCTCCCAACGATACACTCGCATTGATCTAATGCATTTGCTGTCGAAAGCAAATCCGTCGGCAGCCCCCGGCAGGTCGCCAACTTGAAGCCTCAAGACGCTCACTCAAAACCTTGTTCAGCAGGCAATGTCGCTTGGAATAACTCCTCAACTTCTGCTTATAAAAAAGATTGTGTATAGTATCCCATGAAGACGAGCATTGCGCGTCGAATGGTACCATTTGTGCACGACAGCGATGCTTCCTGCGTCTGCTAGCGCCATGGAACTGGCTGTGGCCTCGTAGATCGCGGCTCTTTATAAAATGTCGAAAGTCATTATATTTTGACAAACGTCGATTTTTTATTATAAAAATGTTTCCTCCGGCGGTCCTCAGAGTTTCCCCTATTGACACGGTTTCAGAACGTACCCTTGGTGGTCATAGCACCTGCCTCGTGCTTGCTCGCCTCCTCGTGGCAAGCAGGATCCCGAAGAATGCTGGGCAGGAGGTCTCAGCGCAGCAGTCGTTGGCGCGCTTTCACGAATGACGGATGCTTATGCAGCGAGCTGACAGTGAGCTGAGCCGGCTAGCAAGCTCGTCGCTCCATCCCAAAACGAGCCCCCGCCTATCCGGATACGCTCGCGATGCGCAACGGCCAGCGCGCTGTGGCTTCCAGCAAATTCTACGGCGCCACGTGGGTGCCGCTGTGCATCGAGCGCAGTCCTAGCTACTCTTCATCTGGGCGACCGACGACTGCATATTCGGACGTGAAATATGTCAATTGTGACTGTCTTTGTCGCTTCGAAGCTCACGGCTCTCCAAGGTACCGGCGTCGGGATCGCCAGCGCTGGCCAATATGCTTGGTGGATGGCACGATGCATGGACAGCGCAAGGCGACGAGGGTGAATGTGTGCTTGGTATTTTGCGTCAACAGGATGCGCGTGGACACGGCCGGCTCACGCCAAGGAATTTAGAAGCAATAATATCTGCTCGTCGTTGCCGAATCAACCTCGACCGCGATGGCGTCAGCTCTAATCTCGTCGTCGCTCGAGGTTCGAGAGACCACTGACAATCTCGACGGTGCGACCGTGCTTGCGTGGTGTGTGAACGAGCCAGAAATGCTGTAGCGATCAGCGTTGCGTGTTGCCTGGGACATGGACGGCAAGCCGTTAGCCTCTCGTCGGTAGAGAACGGTATTGCGACATTGGCGTAACGAGTATGATCGCGCCAGTGGAAGCCTGTCGCGAGCATCCTCCCACGAACTCGAGAAGCGCGAACGTCCGGTGTGGACGCGTGTTTTAACGCGTGCGGCAAACTCGGCGGTTAAACGTGCCAAAACAAATGGGGACCACTCGTTTCAATCCGAGTTTCATCCAGTCGACACCCCACCAACGACAACCAACGCCTTGTCGAATGCGCCTTTCTAGAGGTGTCGACCACCGTCGCGTCGTCCCGCAGTGTCGTGCCTGCGATACATTTACATAGCGAGCCCATCCCTCTCGGCCTGTATGTGGGCAAGCGATGTACATACGATCGCATCCAACCACCACGTGGAAGCCATCGCGAAAGCTTCGATATCGACGGAGGCAGCGATCTCAAAAATGGACGGCTGCGGGGCGTCGCAACCGTTACACTCGCAACGTGCGGTCACGACGCAATGCACGCAGAGCATCGGTTCGTCCTACTTATATTACCTCGGCCGTCTTACAGCCATCGAAGCGAGACGGCGGGTATGCTTTTGGCCGTGGTCGGCAGCGATCACCTCGCGTTTGACGTTAAACGCGTGCGTTTTTCTCCGGCCTCGGGCGCACGCGCGCGAACTTGAAGTTCCGTGGGTGCGATTGGGTACGCTCCCGTCGTTCATTGGCTCCTGGGCCACGCTGCGTGCACATGATTGGCCACAGCGTTTAACCCAGATGGCAGCGCCGGCTCCTGTTTTTACCCAGGAAGATACCATTGCGATCAGCTGCCATTTCCAGCTTTCCCCGCAAGTGCAAACTCACAAAGTATACTGTACCGCGCCATGCTCTCGATGCCCTTTGTCGTCGCGCTCCTCACGCGCAAGTACTCGATGGACGGCCGGCCGGGCCCAGCGACGCTGCCCACCGCCGACGAGTGGGGCCCTCGGTACGACGCATCCGGCGACCGCGCGCTAAAGCCCACCACGGACGCGCTCGTGACCAAGCATGAGTATAGGGACCGGTCCGACACGGCCTCGACCGTCTCGACGTCGGCGTCGCACGACCTCGCCGCCATGTACTACCCTGCCAAGCGCAGCCGCCGCCGCCACGAC